TGAGTGTGCATACGCATACTTGGGCATGGTAAGCCAGCCCTGACCACCTGTAATGGCTCCCTTCTCTGTCACCCCCAGGTACACCAAGATGAAGACAGCCACCAACATCTACATCTTCAACCTGGCCCTGGCAGACGCGCTGGCCACCAGCACGCTGCCCTTCCAGAGCACCAAGTACCTGATGGAGACCTGGCCCTTTGGGGAGCTTCTCTGCAAAGTTGTGCTCTCCATCGACTACTACAACATGTTCACCAGTATCTTCACCCTCACCATGATGAGCGTGGACCGCTATGTCGCTGTGTGCCACCCGGTTAAGGCCCTGGACTTCCGCACGCCGGCCAAGGCCAAGATCATCAATGTCTGCATCTGGGTGCTCTCCTCCCTCATTGGGGTGCCCATCATGGCCATGGCGGTCACCAAGTCAAAAGGCAAGTGGCTTCTGGGGAAAGGTCCCCTCCTGTCCCATCTGTCCATCCTGGGGGTGACCTGGCAAACCCAAGCCACCTGGTCCTGTAACAGGTTTGAGCTCAGTGATGGACAGCCCTCCATGGGACCATAAGCATGCCCTGCAATGGAAAAATCATCATGGTGTTATTTTCCATCGTGGCTGCAGAGGTTGGAAACTATTCCAGAAATTGTCGTCCCCCTTCCCTATCGCCAGTCCAACCAGTGCCTCTCCCCAGCTCCTGGGGTGCAAATCAGGTGCCTAAGAACACTCCCAATGGTATTGCAAAGTCCCCAACTGGCCCACACTAAGATCCACAGCTCCTGTGTGAAGATGCCAGCCCTTGGCTGCTAGGAAAGCTCTGGGCATCTTGAGGAAGTGGACAGGTTTCAGTGGAAGGTGACATGGGGACGTGTCCAGCATGGGGGTTGGGAGGAGATAGCATGGGGATGGCCCAGGAGGCTCTGCAGGGCACAAGTCACTGGGTCACTGCACCCACTACATCCCCTCAGCACCCCGTGGGCAGGGGGCGGGTGGCATAAAGCTTCTGGGGAATCTGTGCAAAGAGCTGGCAGGTGGGCATGCATCTCCTTGTGTTTTTAACAAGCATGGACATGCCCAGCCATGACCAAGCAGAAAGCAGACAGTATTCATAGCAGAAACTCCATCGGCTTCCTCTTTGATCATTCTCTCTCCTGCAGATGGGATGGTGCTGTGCACACTCCAGTTTCCTGATCCTCCCATTTACTGGGACACCGTGACCAAGATCTGCGTCTTCATCTTCGCCTTCATGGTCCCCATCTTGGTCATCACCATCTGCTACGGGCTGATGATCCTTCGCCTCAAGAGCGTCCGCCTCCTCTCAGGCTCCAAGGAGAAAGACCGCAACCTGCGGCGCATCACACGCATGGTGCTGGTGGTGGTGGCAGCCTTCATCATCTGCTGGACACCCATCCACATCTTTGTCATTGTCTGGACGCTGGTGGACATAGATAAGAAGAACCCCTACGTGGTGGCCAGCTTGCATTTCTGTATCGCCCTGGGTTATACCAACAGCAGCCTCAACCCCGTCCTTTACGCTTTCCTGGATGAAAATTTCAAGAGGTGTTTCCGAGAGTTTTGCCTGCCTTTCCGAGCCCGTGTGGACCAAAACAGCTTCTCCCATGCCAGAAACACCACACGGGAGTGCATCTCCACCTGCACCCCTTCCGAAGCACGCAACAAGCCGGCATGACTAGACGTGGGCAGACTCCAGCGGGGCTGCCAGGGCCACAGAGGGGACGACCTGCGCTCAGAAGTGACCCAGGTCACCACCACGGAGCTCTAGCAGAGCTCAATAGCACCGCTGGGGTTTTTTTCAGACTGAAAGCAAGTGACTGCAAAGACTTTTTTCATCCTGAAGAATGCAGGATGGCGGAATCAGGACTCACCAGGCAATGTAGGGAGAGGACAAGAGGCAACCTGGGCAGAGCTACTCTGCTCTTGCTGCCACTGCAGCTGGGGAGAGCTGGCAGCCCCATACACCCGACAAGAGGTGTCACTCTCCAACACACGGCTGTCAGCAAAGACCAAGGATCCTGGGACACCATGATTGCAATGACCACGTGCTTCTCCTCCTGAATGGGCCAAGATGGCATCACAGTCTGAGGCAAGTGGGGAAACGCTCCCATGGCAGAAGGGGACTGTGCTGGGAGGTGACGCCACATCATGGGGCCTCACTCCATCCCCCTCTGAGCTGTGTCCAAGAAACAGCCAGAGAAGGAAGAGAAAACGATGCCGCTTCAGAAACAGTGTTATCAAAGAGCTCCAGATCCATAGTAAAAATTTTACTGGCGTCCTTCAAACTGGGATGGGCCCCAGAGGACAACTTTCTGCTGTTAATGTCATTACTGTATTATTCAGAGATCTCTGACTGCAGCCAGGGCAGCCCTAGACATGGATGTGATACTGGGAATACAGATACAGCCAGGGGATGGGTAGGGGGACGGAGCAGGGCACGTCCCAAGCTCACCCCATATCCACGTGCTGATGCCAAATTCCCCCAGCATCCACCAGGGTGATGGGCAACTGCTCCTCACCCATCTGCCTCCAAAGACATTAAGCCCGAGAAAGATCTCATTAAGTGAGAAATCTGTGAGGACTTGAGGAGCTTCTCACAGTGCTAAAGCAATTAGGATGGCCTAACGGGCAGTGCTGTGAGGGCCTTCCCTCCCCTGCCCTTTGGGTGAAGGATGAGCAACAGCACTGCCCAGATTTCCTTTTGCAAAGCCAAAAAGGATAGGATTATTTTTTTTAATAGAAGATGGGAAAAATATCACCATCATTTCCTAATTCCCCAAGCAGGAGAAGTGCAAGCGCTCTCTGTACCGAGAAAGGACCCACAGCCTGCAAGAGGCAGAGATTTTGGCATTTCATGCTCAGCACTCGTTTGGATGGAGCAGCCATCCCTCCAAAGAAGCGTCCAAGCTCCAAGGAAGTGCATCCTGCAGGAGCCACCAACCAGGGACCTCTGGACTGCATTATCTGCCACTAAACGATGACCGATGGGTCCTCCTGCCCTTCCGCTCCTTGAATCACCCCCACCAGCCCCGTGCCAGCTGTGAGCAGCATCCGGGAGCCGCAATTTTTCCTTCCTCTCACCTTCCCACTATTGTGGCTGTGACCAGGAGGTCAAATGGGCTGAGGAGGAGGAGGCTCAGAGGGAGCGGTAATAGCATTTAGTGGACAAATTGATGCAGCTGGAGGAAGCAGGCAAGCGCCTGGGTGCACCTGGGTCTCGGGGGCTGGATGGAGAGCCTGGGTTGCATCTCTGTTTTTTCCAGTTGCATCAATTTAGCCAAATAAAGGTCATTACCTCTCCTTACCAGCCCTACCTTTCTCCAGAGCCTGTGGAAATTGCAGCCTCCCCATTAGGAAGGCAGAACCAACGAGGCAGTGAAAACCAATTTCTCTTTCAAAGGAACCAAATAGGGTGAAACTGCTTATCTCAAATCAATCGCTGCTGAAGTGCATGAGTGATCCTCCTCATCTGCCTGCACCTTGCCCTGAGCAAAAGCCTCTCGCTCGTCATTGCATCAGGCTGCACATCTCCAGTGCTTGCCCAGGACTCCTCGGGATCCCTTTGCAGGCACGGATGGAGTCCTGGACTACCGGCAGAGCCATGCTTGGTCTGCTCATCCCCTGCTGCCGCAAGCCTGGCTGTTCATGGAGCATTGGGTGCGGGAGGGCAAGCAGGATCAGCTCTGGGGCAGGAATTGGGGGAAAACCCCCAGGGTCCCACAGGGCTGAGCTTCAGCTCCATGAGAAGAGAGACTAAGGTGTCCAGAAGGAGTTGGAGGCCACCTTTCAGCTCTCCACCTCCACCCAACCTGGGAGCAAAACCCTCAGTGCCATGTGGTGGAAAATGCTCTTGGTTTGGAGCTAGTTCATGGTGAGGTCCTGGCAACGGTGGGACGTCCTAGCAGGGCTGGATATTCCTGCAGGGGTGGGATGTCCCACGGCTGTGGACCAGGACATCTTGGGTTTCACTCCAGGCTTCAACATGAAACTGAATTCCAGGTTGATATCTCAATTTGGGGGGGTAACCCCAAAAACGTGATGACCCAAAATCATTGGTCTCTTTAATCTGCCTTAGCCAGTGCCTCAGTGTCCCCTAGAAATACCAGCCCCACGATCAAAGCTGGTAAAGGCATGAAGGAGAGCAGCATGTCCAACTGCAACAGGGGTGGCTGCCGAGAGCACAGCAAAGAAACTGGGAGACACAGGGGAGGTGAACCCCATCACCCATGGATGAGGCATCTCTGGCCCAGTGCAGCCCCTTCGAGGACACAACATCGTGTTGGGGGGACTGAGCTGTGAGTGCTGGGGGCTGCAGGTTGGCTCAGGATTCTGCAGGCAGCTCGGCCACACCCCAAAGCTCAACCATCCCATTTCCCATCCCCACGGGATCTTTCCATCTGGGGGAGGCCTGCCAAATTCCCAGCCTGCTGGGAGATGTGCCTGCAACGGCCTTAAAGTGGGTTAAAAGGCTTCAAGTCATAATTTTTTAAATGCAGCCATGCCCGGGCAGAGCTGGGAGCCCAGGACACAGCAAGGATTGTGGCTTTTCTTAGCTTAGGTTTTGTTGAATAAAAAAAAGAAAAAAAAATATTCCTGGGGAAAAGGGAACGCTGATGGCAAACACTGCACTGGAGCCCTTGCAATGACACAGACCTAGAGCATCACCCACCTGCCCATTTCAGCAGCATCCTGATGGGTGCCTGAGGGCTTATCCAGCTTCTCCCTGCAACGGCACCCACCCAAAAAACAGCTCCACCAGCCCGTCATTTGGTCTGGGAAACCAGGGTCAAATTGTGACCCAGGGAAACATCGCTGGGAGCTTATATCTGCCCATGCAGAGCCATGCCACAGCTGGGATGCTCAGAGGGCACTCCGTATACTTTGTGTGTGTGTGTGTGTGTGTGTGTGTGTGTGTGTGTGTGTGTGTGTGTGTGTGTGTGTGTGTGTGTGTGTGTGTGTGTGTGTGTGTGTGTGTGTGTGTGTGTGTGTGTGTGTGTGTGTGTGTATATATATGTATCTCTCTGTCTATAGCTGTATGAAATTAAAGTGACTCCAGGTCATCCCATCCTGCCCCCTGCTATAGCAGCCCCCTGCTACTCTGTGTGTGATGGAGCTCGGGCTCCTGCCCAAATCTGCCGGGTCCGCAGCACTGACCGTGACCTCGCAAAGTGCTTCAGCCAGTATTTCCAGCTCCAGACCTTGTGATTTTGGGCTTTTGATGGCATTTCTGTATAGGAACTGTGCTTTCTAAAAAAATTAATAAAATAAGAGATAGCAAGCAGTTTCCAGCTCTCCTTTGACTCTCAGGCACTGCAAGTGAGCAGGGTCCTTCCTGCTCAGGGCAGCATTTTGGGGGGTGATGGGAGAGAAACCACCTCTAAATTCAAGTTTTGAAAACTCTCCTGTGCTGGGAAAAACCCACCTTCATAAAACCCCAAGCCCCTTTAGCTGAGGTTATTTTGCAAGCCCCTGTAACCAAAAGCCTCTGCACTGCACCAACGGCATTCGAGGCGTCCCTCTGCTGCCAGTCATCAAGATACAACCCAGCAGCTCAAACTCCAGCCCAAATTACATTTGTAATTTAAATGCAAATGAGGATTTAGTGAAAATGCAATGGAAAAGGGTGTTGGAGCCTGTAACTCCGCTCCTGCTTAATGAGACTCGATTTTAAAGACACTTCTGCTGTGTCGATTTGTTAAGTGTTTCGTGAGTTCCCAAAGAACGGGAAAACCATAAAGAGCATGGGGTGGATGTGAAAACTGGATTTCCAGCCTGGAGGTGATTTCTAGCAGGGGCATCGCTGCTCCAGCCCCACTCCAAGACCCCTCGCCATCATCCAGCGCCCTTGGAAAAATGAATCCAGGTACCGACTCCAGCGATTTCACAGCCCAGTTAAACCAGCAGGCAGTCCAGCTGAATAATGCAGCAACGTATGCCAGCACACAGGAGCTGCCACACACCTACAAGCTATTTCCAGGGACTGTCTTTGCAGTCTAATAACATATTTGCTACTGAAGAAAATGTTGGGGTTTTTTTGTTTGTTTTTTTTTTTAATCCACCAAATAATGAACCCTAATGTAACAGGCTTTATTCCTACACGTGTGATTAATTACAAAGCTGCCTGTTTCTTTGTCTGCACCACAGGTTTAGGCTGACTTTGTAATTGCATTATTATGCATATGGAAATGAGTAAATCTGGCTTTCCTGGTGAGGATGCGGGTGATATCTCCCACCACCCTTGCTCCGGAGCAGCCTGGGGTGGATTCAGGCTCTCAGCCCTGAAGAGACACTTCTTAACTTGCAATTCATCATTTAAAAAGAATAAAAAAATACTATGAATAATTACTAGGGCTTTTTTTTTTTTCACCATCTCCTTTCATAGTTACAAATTCTATTTTGTTCCCTGCGCAAGTGGGACTGGGAGGAACATGCAGAGCCCAGGGACCGGCCGTGGAGGGGTGGCTGGTGTCCCATGGGAGCACCGGGGCTCCTCCAGGCAGGGAAGGAGCCGAGCTCCCGTTCCCCAGCTCTGGAGGGATATCCTCAGCCAGGTGAGGAGTTTTCTCTATTTTTGGACTGTTAAAGGACATGAACCAGGACTTCAGCAGTTTTGGGAGGAGGCAGAGAGATCTACACATTGCTATTTCAAACCAATTCCCATCCCCAAGAGACACAACACGCTCCTGTACCATGAGCCACATCAGAC